GGCAATCTGTCGGCGTTGCTATCCGATCACGAAGATGACGAGCCCCAGAGCGACGATGATGAGGCTACTGAGAGTCAATACGCCTACTTTGCATCCCCAGCCAAGGTGCTTGGCTCGGCTTGTGTTAAAGGCGACTATTTCCAAGCCCAAAGTGCAGTGGAGATGGCCATCAGCAAGGCCGTTCAAGCTGCCGAGAGACAGGAGCAGATGCAGGAGGAGAAAAGAACTGAGAGAGCCATCGCTGAAGCCTTGAAGCGACGTGTAGCGGAGAGTGTATTCCGTCTGTTAACGGTGCATGAAGCTCGACATCAGATGAACGCGCTGCACCTCGCAGTACTGTATGAACACCCGACGGTGGTGGCTTATCTGGTATCTGTGGCTAAGAAATATCTGCCAAGAGAACATGATATTACGATGAAGATGAAGAGACATATTCATTTACGACAATCAAATGGACACGGCAGCCCGGAGTGTGCGTCGGATAAAGAAGAATTAGAGCTCATGGAGGAAGAAACGAACAGTAATGCGAGCACGGAGACACAGGAACGGGAGCACGAGGAGAGTGGGTGTGGCACATTGCAGGATTTCCTAGACAGTCGATGTGGAGACTCCAAACACCGCGCGACAGCTTTGATGTTGTGTACGTCCGTAGCGTGTGCTACTACGTTGATTGACGCTGGAGCGTCATTAGATGCGATGAACTCGTCGGGGATGACGGCGATGCATTACGCAGCCAGCACAGGCAACGCTGCGTTCGTGAGTTTGTTGGTGTACCGTGGAGCAGACGTGAACCAGACTGACAGTCGTGGTGCTACTGCATTGCATTGGGCTGTGTTTGAAGGGTTCCAGTACACTGCGATGTTGCTGGTCGGATACGGGGCGAACCAGAAGATCTGCGACTCTGAGAAGCAGACGCCTCTTATGATCGCTAGTGCTTTAGGAGACGCCTTCCTAGCTAAGCAGCTAGTCGTGGAAGGAGCGCCTGTGAACGCCAAGGACAAGCACGGCAGAACGGCGATGGATATTGCACGACAAGGTGCTCACTTTGACACTGCGAGCGCTTTAAAAGCTGGTGCGTCGGATCGATTGGTGGCCTGGGCGTCGCGTAAGGGCGCGTCTGTGCTCTTCTTTTTTGGAATGGTGTTGACGACTGCAACGCTGTCACTCATCTTTGCAGTCCCGTGTCTGCCACCCCAGAGTCTGACGCAAACGATGCAGTACCAGACAGTAGGGCTGGCATTTCTGACGTTCACGTGTGTCATGTACGCGTACGTGTGCATCAAGGACCCGGGATATGTGCCTCGCTCCACACGCCCCGCTTACGAAGTCTTGGCAAGGGAAGACAACACTGTACCGTGTCCGACGTGCGTCACACGGAAGCCCCAGCGTTCGAAACATTGCTCGGCCTGTCGACGCTGCGTGTATCGCTTCGATCACCACTGTCCATGGATTAACAACTGTGTGGGCATTGGCAATCACCGCAGTTTCCTCATCTTCCTGGTTACACTTTCAGGCTTCTGCTTTGCTATCGGCTTTATATCACTGAGCATTCTACTCGGTCATCTGCCGTTGCATCCACCTGCTTCTAGCGTTGAAGACACTGCACCGTGGCCGTGGCAATGGCTGCAACCACCTGACTGGGCACGCTCGGAGTCATCGACGTTGTTGCTGCACGGTATCCACGGCTTCTTGCTGGTCTGTGCGACGGTCTTCGGCTTGCCAACGGCCACGTTGCTGATGATCCAGCTACGCAACGTGAGTCGTAATTTGACAACCAACGAAGTGTTCAACAAGGACAAATATCCGTATTTGAAGACGCCACTGGACGAGTTCTACAACCCGTTTGACGGCGGCTGCGCTCACAACTTTGCTGAGGTGTGTCGCGGCGATATCCCACCCAACGACGAGGACGAAGGCGAGCTCGAAAACAGCAGGAGCTCCGCATTGCAGGAACACGACGTTAGCTCTGTGAGCGGAAGATAAAGCTGTGGCAACTGGAGCTTGTGACTCGATTTTCCCCCAATTTTGACTCGCCGCGATCTACATTGGCCTGGTACGTGACGTGTACTAAGAGAGCAAGCTTGCAAAAGCCTAATTAAAACAAAGTACTTAGTAAGTAAGAAGTTTCCAAGTTGAGTCGGCTGTCAATGCCAGTTGCTTGGAGGTGGCAGCTCCTCCTCCATCTCCATTGAGTCATCTCCTGAATCGATATCCCGGGTGAACGGGTCTTCGTCTCTCTGCTGTCTTTCTACCCGCACAATGGTCGCCCTACCTGTCGTCTCCTCTTCGGAGTCGTCCTCGTCCATCATTTCGTCTTCGTCCATTTCTTCTTCAAGCTCTTCTTCAGACGAACTCGACCGTACGAGCTGAGTATCCGGATCCAGAGGCACATCACTGTCTCTGAAACTGTCAGCACCTGTCGCCACCTGCTGCGCCACGTTGCCGGTGCCTTCACGGTGAAATTTGGCGCCAATAGGAACTGCGGCTTTTCGGTTCACCAGCTCCTGAACCATATTTTCCAGCGCTCGCTCTTCACGCTCGAGCTCGTCTAGGTCCTGAGCGTAAGCATCCGCCTCTCCTACACGGAACGCACCGTTACTGGCCCCGTAGAGCTCACTTATTCGCGGCGACATCGTCGGGAAC